ATTGTGGGACACTGCAGTGCTGGTGCGTGGCATTATTGCATTGGAGCGCCATTTAAACTGAATGGGGCCACAACACAGATCATGCATCGCGGTAAAATTAACGCATTACTGCAACCTATACATATTAATGCCCCCCCCTGGGAGTCCCCATTGCTGGCAAAGTAGTAAAGGAAGAATTTTAGGAACCATTTAAAAAAATAAGGACACTTCCAGGGCTCCTGAGTGTACTATGGAACTAGAAGTCCCAGCATGGCTGGCAGAGCATGGGAGACACAGGCTGCCCAAGTGTGTGTTCACGAGTTCAGCACCTGTCAGCGTGCCTGTTACCATGGAAACCAAGCCCAGTTCCATTCTCTGGTAGCCTGCTACACTACAGTGCAGAATTTACAGCGCAGCCCCGGTGGACCCCCCTTTAATTAAACTGCTCAGCGTTATCCGGGAGCCCATTCCGACCTACCTGCTGTCACTTACTACTTACCCCTCAGAGCAGTCGGTTCTCAGTACCGCCCACGGAACACAAGCCCCGCCCCTGAGACGCTGCAGAAAGCAGGTGCAGCTGGAAGACACGCCTGAAGGGTTTGGCTTTTTACCAAGCAACGCCCACATGAGAAAGCGCACAAACTATTCCTCCAGTGAGGAATGTCCAAGTCATAGCCCCGCCCGCAACGTGGCTTCGCGTCCTCAGCACGCTCAGTAACCCGGGCAACAGGCAGCAGCCCCGCCCTTTCTGGTCCTAACAGGAACATAGGACGCGCCAAGACTAAAGGTGCCGAACACCGTAAGAGCAAGACTACAGCGACCGAATATCAAATAAAATATAAATATATAATATTATAAAATGACATTCTATAAAACAAGTTATTGAGGGAATATAGAATAACTACACACCGGTAAGGACAAAGCTTGCTGGATTGCTATTGGTCAGGATTCCTTGCACTATTAATTGTTTAAAAATGTAATTGGTTGAAGCTCATGCCAATCACAAGAGAGGCGGGGCATAGACTGAAGAATCCTGGGATGTGTAGTTGTCAAAAGTTTACAGCTTGGAAGTTACAAATCGGGAGAGGACTACAAGTTCCAGAGTGCTGCGCGGGACAGGGAGTCCAGCAGGGAGGCTGAAGGCTGTGTAGGTGAAGGAGAGAGGTAACTTCTAACTTGTAGAGGAGACATTCTGTGTATTAGAAGGAGAGGAGAGCTCTGCGTCCTGATGTCTGTGTATTAGGAGGAGAGGAGAGCTCTGTGTCCTGATGTCTGTGTATTAGAAGGAGAGGAGAGCTCTGCGTCCTGATGTCTGTGTATTAGGAGGAGAGGAGAGCTCTGTGTCCTGATGTCTGTGTATTAGGAGGAGAGGAGAGCTCTGTGTCCTGATGTCTGTGTATTAGGAGGAGAGCTCTGTGTCCTGATGTCTGTGTATTAGGAGGAGAGCTCTGTGTCCTGATGTCTGTGTATTAGGAGGAGAGGAGAGCTCTGTGTCCTGATGTCTGTGTATTAGGAGGAGAGGAGAGCTCTGTGTCCTGATGTCTGTGTATTAGGAGGAGAGGAGAGCTCTGTGTCCTGATGTCTGTGTATTAGGAGGAGAGGAGGAGAGCTCTGTGTCCTGATATCAGTGTGTTTATAGTGAAGGGATTTGTAGATTGATCGCGGCCCGGTCTATGTGCTCTGAGGAATGAGCGGTGTTCAGAGACTTCTTGGAATTCTAGTAAACCATTAAACAACCTGACGGCTGGGTATTGGGAGGTTGGAGGGGTTTTGAAGTCTTTAATATGTAACTGAAGTTCCGTTCAGTTTCGGAGGAATTCCCGGAAGAGCGCAGCATCTGATTATTCCCACATTTGTCAGTCTGGAAAATCCTTTATTATAGTTCTAGTTTTGTTTTATTATAATGACTATTAAATAATGTAGTCCGGGGTGTGGAACTCCCCTTTCCATCAATATTCTGCAATTGTGATCATTATAACTATTATTTTGGTGTATTTAAAGATTGTAGTTGGGTTTTGTGCATGGGTAATACTTGACAATGACCACCACGTGGCGCACATGTATCATTTCCAGGAAAAGAGTGGAAAAAACCACCCTTGTAGAGGGGCTACCCCTGCACTGCAAGGGTTAAAGTGACACTAAACACAGGAGTTACATCTTAAAAATAAATTCAAGTATCTTAACTATTAACAAAAATGTATCTTATGTGTGTATCACTCAGCTGTAGATCCCCAAATCATCTCTGAATTGGTGCTGACACTGTCCTTCCTTCTGGAGGGTGACTACTTTTGTTCCCCATGGTCCCTGTGTGTGTTGTAAAGTAGTCACCCCTCCAAGATCGCTCCTGTGATGGACTACAATCTCAATACGAATCCGTAAACTAAACATGAGACTGTAGTCCATCAGTGGAGTGAGCTTGGAGCGGTGGCCCCGGCGGTGAAAAGTCCCTCGGCATCGTCACATCTAATGCAGGTCAATGGACCTGCATAGGATGCGATTATGTCAGCGGTGCTTAGACCGCTGGACCCCCGGGGATGAAGAGACTGCAGGGACCGGTCCAGCAACTGGACAGAGTTGGTAGAAGTGGGAATCGGGTAAGTAAAATATATTTTAATAGTAACCCGTAGACATTATTATTATTATTATTATTATTATGTAGTATTTATATAGCGCCAACAGTTTGCGCAGCGTTTTACAATGTAGACATGACTGAGCATGTAAGTATTTGGGGGTTTTTTGCCTTGAGTTGGGCTTTCAAGCTGAACTCCAGGCAGAAAACTTTAATTTACATATATTACTCAATGGCCACAGAGTATATAATACCACTTTGTGTGATGCCCATGTGATCCCAATTATTACCTTGTTAAAGTGGCAATACCATCATCGCTGTGCTGTACATAGCCTGTAAAGAGAGAGGAGCTGTGGGAGGCACCCAGCAGGCCCCACCCACTACTGGATGCCTGCAGGAAACTAGAGGAGAGGGCGGAGACATGACCAGTCACCCCGCACAAGGAGAGAGAGCAGCAGTGAGCAGTCTTTATTACAGGGAGTCTCACAATGGATGACTGCATACTGGAGGAAATACACAAAGCTCACCAAGATTCAAGGAAGAATACAGATGACTCTTGTATTTAGACTATTTATTTATCCCGGAGTTCAGCTTTAAAGTCGGTGTCAGGGAAAAATAGATTTGTAAAAATAACAGTACGTCTCTGCTCTGGATGCACATTTCTCCAAGTTTTATCCCTTTTTATAGACCCAGAAAAATATCTGCTGATACCTCTCCTTATTTTGTTGTTGTTGTTGTGGGTCGGCAATAGGGATGCACCGATGCCTATACTAGTATCGGTGCCGATATCGAGTATTTGGACAAGTGCTCGTAGTCGCCCAAATGCTCCGATACCTTTCCCGATACTGGAACTGGGAGATTTCCTCTGACCAGCAGTGCCGCAAGTGAACATGGAGCCGGCTTTCAGGCCATTCAGGAAGCCGGGCAGTCGGTAATGACTCGCCGCCAGGCTTCCTGATTGGCCGGGAAGCCGGCTCCATGCTGACTGGCTAGGAAACCGCCTTCCCGGCCAATCATCATCCAGCCATCCAAACAGCATGGAGCCAGCTTCCCAGGCAATCAAGGACTTGGACGTTGGGTAATGACGCGCCGCCCAGCTTCCTGATTGCCTGGGAAGCCAGCTCCATGCTAGTGGAAGTATTAGTATTTGGTAACAGCGAGTACCGAATGCTAAATATTGGCACTCGTACTTGATACCGAAAAACCGGTATCAGTGCATCCCTAGTTGACAATACATAGAATGTGTGTAGATTGTATGGTGTCAGCCCTGCCCAGCTGTCTTTTGCAAAACGACTGAGTCCTCCACAGCCAAGAGTCTTAGTCTTTGTGACTGCTCTCTGTATTACCAATCACCTGCTTCTATGCTATCCCTCGGTCTCTGGCTGGACTAGTAAGGTGTTGCTCTGTTGTGGTCACTAGCAGGTGAGTGACATTGTGCAGTGTTATGGCTGGTGAGGGAGCGATACCATAGGAGCAGGTAAGTGTCCCATTTAGTGATATTGTTGCTGGAGAGTTGTCTCTGGCAATATGATCATTAGTCTGATGCGGCCATTGCCTTTTTAAAAGTAGTATTAAGCTCAAACGTTTTTTCAATCATTAATCCAGTTCAAGCAAATATTCATCGCCCAGCAAAGTATTTCTTTATATTTTTGCCCAAACACTGTCATCATGTTTGAGTAGCTTCAACTCCCTCAGCTCGACTTCCCTGAACTTCCTGTACAAGAACACAAAAAAAGATAGCGGACGGCTGTGCGGTCACGGAATCGCTGATCACCGGTGATCGCACCATTACAAGAAAAAAAAAAACATGCGGTGCGTGTCGCAAAAAAAACAGTACATGTACCTTTTTTCATCGATTGCCACGCGGATGTAACTGCATTGAAATCAATGGTGCCGCGCGGCAACCACTGTGTGCAACCGATCGTGCGTTCCCGGGAACGCCCAAGTCTGCACCAGCCCTTATTAGGGTGGCTCCTTTCCCTTGCCAGGTCCTATGGAGCCACCCTTGTGTGCGTCAGTAAGCTGTGTGTCTCTCCACAATCACACAGGCACAGCAAGGCAAGACTCTTCCCCCGTCTGCTCCTCCTTCAATCTTTCTCCAAGCTAGTAGATGGACGGCTGCTGGAGTCTGCTATCTTTTTTTGCGATCCGTGACCGCGTGCCAATCGTACACAAAACAGCGCTTGTTTTGTGTACGATTGGCACGCGGTCACGGATCGCCCAAGTGTGAACCTGGCCTAAAACAGGATATCGGGGGCCAGTGCTCAGGGGTCCAGCTGATTCTGCATTCTCCTTTCAGCTGCAGCAAACTGTTTTCCACATCATTTGCGTTGCTCGAAGGTTCCTCCTGACTTTTCATTGACTTTTTCATGAACAACTCGGGCAAGGTTTGCTTTTCTCTATTTTCCTATCTCCTTTTACTTCATTATTATTTGTTCCCTTCCACAGGATCCAGCAGCTGGGTTTGGCAGCATGGCGAGCGAGCTCAGTGATGAGTCCAGTGAGACGGAGATGCTGAGCCGCAGTCTGTCCATCTGGTACGGGGAGCCGTTGGATGGACAAGAGTTGCCTTTGGATCTTCACACAGCGGCTTCTATAGGACAGTATGAGATTGTTCAGCATTGTGTGCGAAGGTGAGAATAACACGCTGTAGTGATAAATCTGTCCCACGTTTGGCCGCTTTAAACTGAGCTTGTGATGTGAAACCTCATAAGCCCAGGTGGGGCTGGACACATCCCAGGAGCCAGGTCGCCAATGCTCCTGGTGCCTAACTTTTGAGATTTTTCTCTAGTTGTTGTCAATGGCGCTGACTCCTAAAATAAAATCCCTGCTAGCTCCTGGATTGGACAGACTGGCTCCTGAATTCCATATTACTTTGGAAAGCTGATATACATCCTGTATTGTCCAGGGTTTCAGAACTCCCAGATTTCCCTTCACTGTTTTTTTTTTTTAGTAAGTTATGCCTAAAGGCATGTGTGCCTAATATTTAATTATCAATCTATTTCTAATTGTCTCCTGTGGTGTCAGGTGCAATTTCATAAGGCAGTGTATTGAGCATTGATTAGGACTAGGGATGCACAAATACCGTTTTTTCGGTATCGAGTACCGATATTTATTTTAATTTTTTTCGGTACTCACCAATACCGGAAGTCCCATTAAGGAAGCCTGGCGGCATGTAATGACTTGCCACCCGGCTTCCCGCTTTAGCACGGAAGCCACCTCCATGCTCCCTCGTCACCAGGTGGCGAGAAAGCATGGAGCAGGCTTCCTGGCCAATCAGGAAGCCAAGTGCCGTGTAATGACGCGTTGCCTGGCTTCCTAATTGGTCGAGAAGCTGGCCAAACAGGAAGCTGGGCAACGCATAATTACATTTCACGAGGGAGCATGAAGCAGGCTTTCTGGCCAATTGGAAAGCCAGGGGGCATGCAATGACATACTGCCGAGCTTCCTGATTGGCCAGGAAGCCGGCTGCATGTTCCCCCATCACAAGTGACGAGAGAGCATGGAGCCGGCCTTCTGGCCAATCAGGAATCCAGGCAGCGTGTAATGACTCGCTGCCTGGCTTCCGGATACCGGAAGCTCAAGTATCGGGCTAGGCATCGGAGTATTTGGGCGAGTACGAGTACTTGCCCTAAAACTCAGCACCGGTACTAGGATATCCCTAATTATGACAGAGGTGGACACATTATCATCGAACTCAGGAGCCAGTCTGTCCAATCGAGGAGCCAGCAGGATTTTATTTTAGAAGTCGGCTCCTTTTGAGAACTAAAGATAACCTCAAAAGTTAGAGGGCACCTGTCATTTTACTCCTTGCCATTGTGTAAAGTGTAACATTGTCTTATCACTAAAAAGAGCCCTCTTGTTTATCTACAGAAGGGATGTGGACCTGAACCAGCAGAACCTGGGCGGCTGGACACCACTCATGTACGCCTCTTACATTGGTCACGATGCTGTGGTGAGCCTCCTCCTGGAAGCTGGGGTAGATGTCAACTGCAGGACCCCCATAGGACAGACCCCTCTGATGCTAGCGGCTAGCTGTGGAAATGAGAAGGTGGCCCATTGTCTGATACAGGTAACTCATGCTGAATACGACAAGCTACTCCCAAGGCCTAGTCTTTTCCTCTTACAATGGGCTTTTTTTTTGTATGGCATTTACATATTTCATATCACTGTACAACAGATGTGGAGGCCCCACATACAGTTTGACATTCCTGTGCGTTGTGTTAACACGTGCGTCTTGTCACATATTAACCTGCATTGCCCATCCATTTTGAGTAAGCTGCCAATGCACAAGAGCAAATAAAAAACAAACAGATGTGTAGATTTTATTTCTGACGCAGTGCACCACAACATTGGAGCTGTGTTGCCTTATTGCATCGGGGTGCTAGTCAAAATGGGTGACCTTGCAATGTTTTGCAGGGTCACTTATTGCACGCAGCGTAGTTTAGGCCAAAATCATTTGTACCAGTCTCTGCATCTACAGAAGTTTAGTCTGCTGTCCTCTACCTCCACATGCATACCCACAGTCTATAGGTAAGTTGTTGGAAGAAGCCCATTCAGACACGGTAGGGGCGTACTATAGTGGGATTATAATTTGGAATCCCAGCACTGGAAGGCTGTGATGCTCTTCATTACTCGCATGCTGTTATTACTGTCATGGCACCCTTTAAAGGTATGCAAAATCCAAAGGCACCCCAGTCTAAAATGTAATGGTTTTTAAGGAAGGAACCAATGCAAAAACACAAAAATGGTGTTCCCCCTCCTTCACATGGAAGTTCCCCCTCTACATCCCCCCCTCACAACACACACGTCAGGGCACCTTTATATCCAGAGCCCCCTCCTTTGACATTAGGAGCCTGTCCCTTTTACATCAGAGCCCCGCTTTACCTTAAAATCCTAAATCCCCCCTCCCAACAATCACCCCCTTTCAAATTTGAGTCCTCTGTCCCTCCCCCTTTCACATCATAGCCCCACCATCACGTCAGGAGCAGACGCAGCAGCATTTCAGAGGGTACATTCCTAGAATTAAGCAAACATCCATTGTTTTCTGAAAAGATCCCACCCTCCCTGGATCAACGTCATTCATTTCCATGGATCTGGCAGCCAGCCTGTCTGCACAATGGAAAGTCATGACGCTGTGCAAAAATGTTGATACCCCTAACCCTGGGCAAAAAAGTCTGGTCTAGACAAGCAGGAGATCTTTAATGACTTAGTGACCCTGTTAGGGATCAACATAATCGCAAAAAACGAACCTGTGAAGGAAACGGCTTTACACTTATCTGTCCGTCAGCCCATTGGCTTAATCTTCACCCGGTAGCAGAGCTCCCGACACCGATCCGATTCCACACTCAGTGTGGGATAGAGTGTCCTCCGCTGGCTGTCATCATTGCTCCCAATGACCTCTAGGTCACTATTGTATCTTGCAGTGACTAGACTAGGGGATAGCAGGAGGAACCACAGTGACCAGTGGGGGGGGACCCGCTATTTGACCAGCTTGAGGAATGGAGTCAGATCGGCTCTGGGAGCTCTGCTACAGAGCTGCCTCTCTAGATTAGTAATTACTGTACTTCAATTTCAAATAGAACAGACCATTAAATGCATAAACGTGGAAATAGAAATTGTGAGCATTGAATGAGAAAATTATTTTCCACCTCTAATGTATTTTCCTTTATTCTACCAATGAAGCAAGGAGCTGAGATGGAGATTAGGGACGCTCGCAGCTGGACAGCTCTGTTTCACTGCACCAGCGCCGGGCACCAGCGGATGCTGCGATTCCTACTGGAGAATGGGGCCAATGCAGATCTCAAGTAAGAAAATTGTGTTTTACAATCAGATTTTAGATGTATGGTCAGATTTTGCCTTCAGTGTGGCTGTAACATTGACATTGTGTTGGATCTTTCCAGGGAGCCGGTATATGGGTTTACTCCTCTCATGGAGGCTGCAGCCTCAGGACATGAGATCATAGTGCAACATCTACTGAACCATGTAAGTCTTTAGTCCTAACTTGTAATCCAATATATAACATGGGTAAACTTTATGACCATAAGTTAAAGCTGATCTTCAAACAGAGGGATGGAGTGCTGTCGCAGCTGGCCGGCTCGGAAGATCGGGTGAATATGACTTTATTTCCCTAGACCGAAGCGAGCGCTTAACCCTTGCAGTGCTGGGGATGCCCTGCTTTGCCCTGTGTTCTTTAAATGACATGCTTGCATGCTTCCTCCCTGCAGCTCCGGGTGCATCAAAAACAACCCTTTACACTGCACAGGGCAACACGCCCATGTGAACGAGGCCTAACACACAGTGGTTTCATCCACCTAGCTGGTGCTGTGTACATGTCAGAACTGGGTGGACAGAGATTCAAATCCTTTCGCATAAGAAACGGGTCCCATATATCTTTTTTGTCTGTGTATTTATTGTAAATTCCTGTATTGGATATATGAATGAGTAGACTCGCATAGCACATACAAGACCACACTTTTCTCTTCAGGCTAAAAACAACTTTATTGGTCGAGTTTCAGCATGAAAACCGACATTCCAACCCACTCCTTCTTCTTCACACGCTTTGTGCCCTAGTGGAGCTTAATTGTAGGTCTACGATTTAGCTCCACTAGGGAGTGAAATGCATCAGTGGAAGAATGTAGCGTTCATGATGTAAACGTAAACAATAAAGCTGTTTTTAGCCAGAAGGAGAAAAAAGTGCGACCCCCCCCCTTTTGTCATATGTGAGTCTGGGATGGGGGGGAATGGGTCCTGGAGGTACCAGCACCTGTGTCTGGATGAAGGGCCTAGAACAGTATACAAACAACAAGTGGATGGAGGGCCTAGAACAGTATACAAACTGCAAGTGAATTAGAAGTGAACTCCCTAGGAAGCCATATGTGGTCACAACACTGACATACATGGCCACATCTGTCTTTACATGTTCCAGCCACATGCATAACCTCCAACTCCTCTTAACAAGACTGGGAGATACATTGATACCCAACATAGGGGCTCTTTTGGGAACTACCTTTTTAAAATCACCTAAAATATTTTCAGTGTAATCCGGATCCCCCAGTAATATTGGTCATTGATTAAACATAATCGTTCTAATGTTCTCAAAATGTAAACTATATGCTTTGGTACATGTTAAGGTGGCAAAAGTGGTGGTCTGACCAAACAGGATCTCTAATTTGGCATGGGCCTAAGAAACAGCGGGCCCACATCCTGATCACAATTAGTAGAAGGGGAGCAGTTTGTGCAGTTTTTATTGCTGAATGCCAATATGTTGTGATGCTGGGGAGGAGGGGCTCTGCTTATCTCCTGCACTTACTGTATATACATATGTTGTTGTTTTACTAGGGGGTGAAGGTGATGGAGGTGGACCATAACGGAGATACAGCTCGAATGCTGGCAGCAAGATATGGCCATTCCAGGATAGTGTCACTACTGGACTCCTATCGCATCCGAGGGTCCCGAACCCAAAGCAAGGGATCTGGTATTAATTTGTTCCTCCACCTCTATATGATATGTAAATGTAGCAATATAGTTTCACCAGATTTATGCAGCTTCCTTTGGGTGTAGTGAAAGTTGACCCTAATTCTTACACCCTAATTCAAAGGGCATTAAAGAGAAACTGAACTCCTGGAGCTGTGCCCCAAAAAAGGTACAGAACAGAAGACTAGACGCCAGAATTGTCTGTGGACTCCCAGCAGCTGATCTTTCCCCATTACAGACTTCCCATGCCTTGTTCTCCACTATGTCTCTGTGTGGAGGCGGCAATCTTGGTAGAGGCGGGGCTTTACTTCCTTATGTCACAGCCTCCAGCAAAGAGAACAGTGTTCAGCACATAAGTGACATCACCAAATCGCCTGAGACTTATCAGTTAAAGGCAACAGTGCCTTTACATCTCACACTGCAGATATACAGCTATGAGGATGTAGTTACAGGAGTGCCTAGCCAACCTCGCATATCAGGAAGTGCACTGATATTTAGAAGGAATTCAAGTGGTGAAGGTGTACACCCTCTGATGGTTATTGTTGTTTTGTTTTTTTACTGCTGTTCGGAACTCTGTTGAAGGAAATCCCTTCACATCCTGTCCCAGTGATATCCTCCTCAAGAAGGCTTTGGGAAAGCAATATAAACTTGGTCAAGATGCAAACCCTTCCTCCTTCTATAAAAACTTTAAAAAAAATAAAGTATAACTCTAGCCAAACCTTTACTAAATAAGTTTTTTTTTTTTTCTTTTTTCTAATGCATGACATCCAGGTTCAGAAAGCAGTTCCTACCCACGAACCTTATTGGGATTTTGGAATTAACCCAGGCCTGTGTAAAATATACTCCAAAATGTCACTATATACAATTTGTCATATGTCTTGTACTGTTGTATCGGGAGAGAGGCAGCACACAAATTTTGGATAGAGATCAGACGTGTCAAGAGACTGAGCTGAGAAAGCATGATGGATGGAAACAAAATAGTGTCTTAGAAAAGGTGGTCTCATTGTTGAGCATTAAACAGCTATATAGTTCAGGGGGCAGTGACAGAAGTTGGGGCTGTTTCAGGGGTGGGCAACTCCAGCCCTCCAGTTGTGGAACTACAAGTCCCATGAACCATTGCAAGACTGACAGTTACAGGCATGACTCCCAGGGGCATGTTGGGATTTATGGTTAAAGCACAGCTGGAGGGCTGGAGTTTCCCACCCCTGGGCTGGTTTCATAGAAAAAAAATGTTACAGGTAAAGTTGCTTCAATTCAAGATTTTTGTTACTGAAACTTCTCATGTTTTCAGGCCATCAGGAAGATCTTAGTTCATCGGATGAGTCGTCTTCCACCCCCCACCGGGTGAGACCGCAGAGGAAGACCAAAGGTCCTAGCATTCATGACGGCCCCCAAGCCTTGGCAAAGATAACTGGTGGTGGAGGTGCGCACAACCGGCCTGGATATGGTGAGTGGGTAATGGTCACAGGCTGGATCTGAGATTGGCATAATCCCAGTTACTGATATCTCTGCATAGAGAAATGCTTCACCGCTTATTGGGAAACCTGATACGCAGGTAGCGTTGTGTAAAAAGGCCCATTTGTATTTCAGCAATTAAAGCCGCTCTGGCTGCATTACACACCTCCTTCCCAGTGCTGCCCCCCAGAGACTTGCTGCTCTGTGATCTACTGTAGTTTCTGTCCTCTTCCTGGCTAAATGATCCCCAGTGGGAGGCGCCCCCCTGGTGGTGTGTTATCTCCCCAGGTTGGGCTTACAGTATGGTTGGACAGAATGGAACTCACGTGTTAGTACATGTGTGCAATTTTGTCCAGGAATAAGGACCGCTCACCCTGCCTGCAATATTTGCAGCCATTGACAGGCCTTCTCCTGAGCACCTCCATTGTTGGAATACAGCCCTGTTCACGTTTGAGGGCTCACTTCACAGGCAACAAGATATAAACCCGTTTTTGCAAATGCATTCTTGTGCATAGTGTCTCTTTTAACAAGCGGGGATGAATTCTAAATCACTTTGATGTCTGCTTTGGTTGGGGTGATCTTCCTTTTATTTGTTCAGATTGTCACCCAGTTGTGTTTTTGAAGTCATTCAGATTTGGCAGCAATTTGACCCCATATTTATATAAGTAATTCACCCCATGCGCCTCTTAGAGCAGTGGTGGGTATCCCTGGCCCTCCAGCTGTTGTGGAACTACGAGTCCCATGAGGCATTGCAAGACTGACAGATACAGGCATGACTCCCAGAGACAGAGGCATGTTGGTATTTGTAGTTAAAGCCCAGCTGGAGGGCCAGTGTTGTCCACCCCTGTCTTAGAGGGTCTTCTGTGTATAATATTTGTTTTACCCATCTCTCCAGCACCAGGCCCTCCTCAGGGATATGTCACTTTTAATGAACTAGATTATGAGGCGGCGGGGTCTGACAATTTGCGATATCGGGATGTCACTTCCCCCATCAATGACGGTGATGTAGAGAGCAACGGGAGCAGCAGCAAAGGTGGGTGCTGATGGAGACAAGCTATAATAATTTAAGACAAATTATAGTATACGTGCAGTGAGCACCTATTTTAGCTGTTGTATTTTTTACCTAAAATCACGTTCTTTAAGACCAAGCTATGTGCATGTTTCATATGCTTCTATGCTTAAAGTTACTCTTTTGCTTTTTTTTTTTTTTTTATTCTTGAAAAGCGATTCTCCCTGCAAAGGAATAAGTTAACACTTACCTGTCCCGCTGCCAATGCCACCAAACTTCTTCCGGGTTGAAGAACAAAGCTTGCTTGCTTTAGCATCTGGTGCACCTTCAGTAGTGTCGGATTCCTGGTGTCCTGCTGTGCATCTTTCTTTCTTCTGGAGCTATAGCTTAAACTAAGATGAAGTTTAATCTGCTTTATATTTTGGCTCCTCCCTCCCACCTCTATAACATTCAAACAAAACTTGTATTTTTTTCTTTACATACCTTATTTTAGATCCAGTAACATCACTGGGTCTCTGTGCTTCTCTTTACAATGCAGGCAGGTCATGACTGGTGAGAGGGGCTGGCAGGGTGCTATACATAACTTCCCAAAAACATCACAGCACCCTGCCTCACTGCCTCAGTACTCCTCTTGCGAGCCCTCAGCCCTGATGCAAGCAGTGGCTGGCTCTTGGGAGGAGTTATGCAAATTGCAAAATGTCTAATATTAGTCTGGACTTTTGGGTGTTCCTGGGCAAGCTGCATTTGTTTGCACACTGCCCTAGGCAATACCTACATGTAATGCTAAGCCTCCATGATTGAAGGAACTGAAGTCCAGTGAATGAAAAGGGCGGGCCAGGAACTGTCAGGCTAAGGAGGAAAGGGCTGGGTGATTTTTGTTGATGGCCACGTGCCCATTACCTAGTACTTGAGGGTCCTACTTCGGTAGGACCCTGAGGATCGGGGTCTGCCGGCCTTCGGGTAGGTGGACCGGAGTTTCTTTGCCCCTGTCAGGAGCCTTTTGCCCCAGGGGGTTCAGGATTATCGAGGCCCTTCCTCTTCGGAGGAGGACCAAAGCACCCTCATGCACTTTTTTTTGTGTGTTGTGATTTCACGATTCACATGTTTTGTTCACAGGGGAAGTCATTTTACGAAGCACGCACCGTGGACTTCAACAAAAAAATATATAATTTTAAAAATGCCCACGTCTAATGCTGAGCATCCTTGATTGAGAGAGCTGAAATCCAGTGACTGAAAAGGCGCTATATGTATCTCTTTGTGTGTAAAATGATGACGCAAGTCCTGTTTTATTAACAAAGTGTCATTTTTTATTTTTTTTATTCATGGCTCAACGTTCATCCTTTTTGATGGTATTGTCTTTTTCAGAAGAAGGTGGCGGTAGAGCTCGGAGCAGCAGCAGTGAAGGTGTGTCTCTGAACACTGGTGTAAGTGGCGAGGCCTCACTGGAGAGCAATGAGGTACGGAGATCAAGTCACAGCAAGCATGCTCCTATTCCTGTATCAGTTATCACTGCAACCACGTTCTTTATACATCGTTCAGACACAGGTCGGCATATGCTCTTGCATGCAGTGGTCCTTTTCATGCTGATTATTTTGTCATTTTCGCATAATTATGTGTCCACTGCCTCCACAAAATATTAAAGCGAATGTATAGTTATAGTTAGGCAAATATAAAACCTGGCCTGTTAAAGTGACATTAAAGTCAGCATTTTATTTTCCTCTTCCCAATCCTGCTGTAAGGACTTACCTTAAATGATGTCTCTTGATTCGATCATCTTCTTCCTTACGTTCCTTTTCAGATGTCCTTCCAGCACTGGTGCGGGTCTCCAATCCAGCGCTGACTCCTCTGTCCTCCTCTCCTCTGATGTCCCGTCCGTGCGGGTGCACGCTGCTCCATATACTTACCTTGTGTCTCTCCTCGTCTCCCAGCCGAACATCTGACGTGCGCATGCGCCCGTCCCAAGATCCTTTGCGGCCGCCCGAGGAACTTTCAGATGTTCGGACGGGAGTGCGCGGTGGAGACACAGCTAAGTTTAAAGCCTTTTTAAAAGGTTTTTTTAAAATGTTTTTGTATATATCTATTGCTTGCTAGCAGTAGAGATATGCAAAAACCGCTGAGGGTTTAATAACCCTTTTAAAACTTTAGTTTGAGTTTGTTGGTCAGCAGGTGGCGCTTTAGACTCTGCTTTCAATTGCTAACAAAATATGGTAGGAGCATTATATGTCTCCTTTTCTTATTTAATAAATTCTCCCATCTTCTGAGAGTCCCTATGCGGCAGGGAAGGAGGGGAGGTGAAGACCTTTTATGAGCTAGCTCCTTGTGTCTGTAGTTGTTTCCACATTTCTCTGCACTGCATACAGCTGTACATGTTGTTATATTTCTTTATTTAATGATTGGAAGAATACAAGTAGCCAGTTTTAAAATTAACATTTTAAAACTGTTAAAGAAGCCTGACACTAATTCCTAGTGTCGGGCTTCTTCAACAGTTTTGAAATGTTAATGAGATTTCTGGAATGATCTGTTGCTTTGTTTTAGCAAAGCCCCCAGGATTCCATTATTGCCGTGAACACCTGGGCCACCAGTATCTTCGCACTATTGTTTGAATATATGAAGAGAACAGACTACGAAAGAAGAACACATCAAAGCTAGGTAGACAACCATAATAAACCAACATGAAAAACAATAGAAGAAAAAAAAAAAGGGAGAAAACTCAAAAAGGGAAGGAACAAGACAAAGGAGCAGAAAAGCAGCTGTACGTGTTTATACTCCTGCTGCATGTTTATATTGATATCCAAATTTGTGTTCCAGGACTCTGACTCGGCTGTGGAAACCTCCAGCAGGAAGCATGGCAAAACGCACTCCAAAGGTAGACAGCGCAATGGAGATGCCCACACCACCCCTGGGCCCTCTAACTCGCTGCCAGATCCAGATATTCCTCACTACACGGGGCCTAAGGTACGTTTAGAAAGAAAACCTGAGCTGTGGGAGCTGGGCCCAAAAAGGCTCGCAGAGGGCAAAAGACGAGTCTCCAGTATTGCCTGTGGTCTTTCCACGGCTAATCTTTTATTTTATTACCGACTTACCATGCCATCTTGGTAGCTGCAGGCCTCTGCTTCCTTATGTCAGAACAGATCTGATGATTGGTGGGGTAATGATAGAAGAGCAGCGGGAGAGGTGAAAAAAGCCCAGATCCATAGAATGAATGAAGCAGGGAGATCCTTGCACTGCAGGTCCTCAGGTACAGCTTCCTCTCCAGCAAGAAAAACAGGGAGCAGCACAGTAGTGGCTTCACCAAATCTCCTGAGACTAGCAGTCGGAGGCATCTCTCAGATATCCAGCAATGAGCATGTGTAAATCTATATTTCAAGAGCAATTGAAAACAACAAAAGGTACAATTTTCAGGCAGTTGCATATGCAAAATTCATATTTCTAGATGTTCCCTATGAAATGGCAAATCCTCACTTTTTTAATTCCACTTTACAGGGTAACTGTTCCTTTGCACCGAAAAACATATCCCACCCCCCTCACCCTCCTTGTCAGATTAGCAATAAAATGTCAGACCTCATATTTCAGACGTCTGCTTTTCTCACTGGTAGGGCCTACCAAGGTACAAGGTGGAGGTTACAGCTTGCACTGACTTAGCTCCTAGATTATGTCAATAGCCAGGAGGAGAAAATAGAGCTTCATAAGATGGCGGCTGCTTCTGCACAGAAACACAGTGCAGAACAAGGCATGGTAGGTCAGAAAGAAGGAAAGATCAGCTGCAGAGAGGCCATGGGCAATACTGGAGACTAGTCCTTTACCTTCTGGTTGCTTTTTTTGGGGCCCATCCTCCACTATTCAGGTCTTCTTTAAATGAAGAGCCCTGCTGCTTCTCTTCTTATTAGGAATCATATGCTAATGGTATATTTACTATTTGCTTGGTCACATTAAACTATGCCATTGGAACTTTAGATTTTAGAGTTCTGTATATCTAACACAAAAACCCTTTTCCCTTACATTTTGGAGTAGAGAAGGACTAAAACCCATGTCTGGGGTTTTTTTTTTTTTTTGCTATGGTGATATCCCATTGGGAATATCTCCGTTACCTCCTGGAGGTTGGATGAAATCTCCCTCCTAGACAGTTGTCACCAAAAAAACATGGAAAGATTTGCCCTCGTTTCACCTATTCCGGAGGTTCCTCAAACATTTTAACTTCACGCCTCAGTCTCGGTAACAGTGGTCACCTGGACGAATAGCATGAATCAACTCAAAAGTAATAAGAACCTGACGGGTTCTGACCCCTTGCCACTCTATCGAAAACCTAAAGAAAAAGTTTTGGCTTTTAATACACTGAGTATATGTCCACTGTAACTGTATTTTATTCTTGTATCACAAGTTCTGACTCTTTCCTCTTCTCCCATCAGGACCTGGCAGAGCTGCTCGAGCAGATTGGCTGTTCCAAGTACCTTTCTGTATTCCAGGATCAAGATGTGAATCTGCGGATCTTCCTCACCCTCACTGAGCCGGACCTGAAGGAAGTGGGCATCACGTGAGTGCTGTCGAGAAGTTTCTGTGGCTAAGCCAAGAGGCTGGAGGGCAAATGTATGTTTTGGGGGTTGCCAAAATGCTATTTCCGGTCATTTTATAGAGGACTGGGGGTGTGACCTTTTCATTGAGGTCCATTGGTGCTTTCTGAACTATTTTTGAGCATTACAGTGTTGCAGCCCCTCCTGTTACAAAAATACAAAAATGTTATTTGTGTATCACTCAGCTGTAGATCCTCCATCTCTGAATTAGTGCTGACACTGTCCTTCCTTCTGGGGGGTGGCTCCTTTTGTTCCCCATGGTCCCCGTGTGTGTTGTTAAGTAGTCACCGCTCCAAACTCACTCCCGTGATGGAGTACAATCTCAGGTTTAGTTTACTAATTTGTATTGATATTGTAGTCCATCACAGGGTTGAGCTTGGAGCGGTGACTACTTTACAACACACACAGGGACCATGGGGGAACAAAAGTAGCCCCCCTCCAGAAGGAAGGACAGTGTCAGCACCAATTCAGAGATGATTTGAGGATCTACTGCTGAGTGATAAACAAATAAGATACATTTTTGTTAATAGTTAAGGTAATTGAATGTATTTTTAAGATTTAACTCCTGAATTTAGTGTCACTTTAACTCTCCATCTACCAAAAAATAACAATTAGCAGCGTTGGCCATAGTAACCAATGAGGCTTCAGCTGATGTTTCTAGAGCAACGTTTAGCCAACAGTGCCCTTTTTCTTGCTCCGATTTTTTTATATCCGGGAGCTTTGCTACTCACTTCTAAAGCTGTTCCTTCATGATGCCCCTAAAAATAATTTGCGTATGTTGCGCCTTGTAGCTTGTTTGGACCAAAGAGAAAGATGACATCTGCTATTGCTCGCTGGCACAGTTCTGCCCGTCCTCCAGGGGATGCCTTGGAACAGGCCTATGCTGATCGTCTGGAAGCGGAGATGCAAGAGTTGGCCATACAGCTCCACAAGGTAATGGTTTCTGATCAGTCTTGAGATTTTTTCTCAATATCGGGGGACTGGAAACATTTAAAGAACCAGTTAGGTGTTATAAAAGATAACTTGCATTTTAATTGACATTATATTATCTGGCTTACTCCACAGAAGTGTGAAGAGACCGAGCTCTTGAAAGGACAAGTTGACCAGGAGAGGGAACTCCGAGCTGTGGCTGAGAGCTGCCTCATGGAGCAGGAGACCAAATGGAGGACTGTTCACTGCCAGATGGAAGCCACGTGTAACCTGGCCACAGAGGCTCAGAGGGCAGTCACTCAGCTCAGGTACTTGGCAGCTCCATCAAAACAGAGAAGACAGACTCTTAACCAGTCAAATGTTGTATCTGGCCATTCAGATTTCCCATTGCCTTAACGATAAAACAAATGTAACGGAAGCAAAGATATAGAGTCTGATCTCTTCTCTCTGTCACTCTGCTCTCTCCTCTGATCACTGCAGTGCAACTGACTGGCTTTTTTAACTGCTTCCCCTTTGCCTAGCCTCAGCTCTGCTGTACATTGACTACTAGAAGCTAATACCAAAACAAATTTAGATACTTGTACTGCTTGTGTGTGTGTGTGTGTGTGTGTGTGTGTATATGTGTATATATATATCTATAACACTTTAAAGAGGAATGTAACTGTTTCTTCTTACTGCCTAGAGTTTAACTTAAATTACTAAATGCCATGTGTTGCAATATACATTAATAGACATTCTCTTTTTTAATAGCTCTTCAATACCCATAACTGCTGTACATGTGTAGAGTTCTGAATTTCTGTCCCTGTATGTGATTGTTCCTTCTCAGTATCTCCTAACTGAGCATGTCGACTACTAGTTTAATGTCCACCCTGTGACCATAGCTTGTGTCTCCCCTGGTTTCCATTGACCATGGCTTGTGTCTCCCCTTGTCTTTCCTTGACCATGCCTTTTGTCTACCCTGACCATGGCTTGTGTCTCACCTTGCCTTCCTTGACCATGGCTTGTGTCTGCCCTTGTCTCCTTTTGACCATGGCTTGTGTCTGCCCTTGTCTCCTTTTGACCATGGCTTGTGTCTGCCCTTGTCTCCTTTGACCATGGCTTGTGTCTGCCCTTGTCTCCTTTGACCATGGCTTGTGTCTGCCCTTGTCTCCTTTGACCATGGCTTGTGTCTGCCCTTGTCTCCTTTGACCATGGCTTGTGTCTGCCCTTGTCTCCTTTGACCATGGCTTGTGTCTGCCCTTGTCTCCTTTGACCATGGCTTGTGTCTGCCCTTGTCTCCTTTGACCATGGCTTGTGTCTGCCCTTGTCTCCTTTGACCATGGCTTGTGTCTGCCCTTGTCTCCTTTGACCATGGCTTGTGTCTGCCCTTGTCTCCTTT